AACAGTTCATCCAACAACAGCAGAACACACATTTTTCTCAAGCTCACGTGGAACATTCACCAGGATAGCCCACATTCTGGGCCATAAAATACACCTTAGCTAAAAGAACAGAAATCCATGGGGCACCTGGGTGACTCAGTTGTTAAGCGCCTGCCTTCAGATCAGGTCATGATCCCAGGGTCCTGGAATCAAGCCCCACATGGGGCTCCTCGCTCAGCAGGAAGCCTGCTTCTCCCTCTGCCACTCCTCCTGCTTTTGTTCCCTCTCTCGCTGTGTCTCTCTCTGTCAAATAAATAAATAAAATCTTAAAAAATAAATAACTAAATAAACTGAAATCCTACAATGTCTGCTCTCAGACCACGATGGAATTAAACTAGAAATCAGTAATAGAAAGATAACTGTGAGGATATATGAAATTTAAACAACACATAAATCACATATAGGTCAAAGAAATTTAAATTTTCAAACGAAATTTAAGAATATTTTGAATTAAATGAAAATGAAAACACAACTTAGCAAAATTTATTGGATGCAGTGGGAGCAGTGCTTAAGGAAAATACTGAATGCATATAAGAGAAAGGAAGAAGGTCTAAAATCAATAATTGAAGTTTCCAACTTGGGAAACCATTAGAGAAGAGCACATTAAACCCAAAGCAAAAAAAAAAAAAAAAAAAAAAGAGAGAGAGAGAGAGAGAGAGAGAGAAAATAAGAATTAGACCAGAAATTGGTGTGATTTCAGCCTACGTCATGATCTCAAGGTCACGAGGTTCAGCCCTGTGTCCCCCTCTTTGCTGGGTGTGGAACCTGCATAAGATTCTCTCTCTCTCTGTCTTCCTCTGACCTTTCCTCCCCCAATGGAAAGGAAAAAAAAGAAAAGAGAGCAGAAATCAACAAAATTTTGAAAAGAAAAAAAAATCAATGAAACCACAAGCTGGTTCTTCAAAAAGATCAATAAAACCTATAAGCCTTTAATGAGGCTAAGTAAGGAAAAAAGAGAGAGGACACAAATTATTACTATCAGAAATAAAAGAGGGGATGTCACTGCAGATTCAAGGGAAATTAAAAGGATTATAAAAGAATACTCTAGCAAATCTGTGCCCACAAATTTAATAACCTAAATGAAGTGGACCAATTCCTTGAAAGACACAATGTTTCAAAACTCATACAAGAAGAAATAGGTGACTTGAATAGGCCTAAATCTATTAAAGAAATTGAACTAATAATAACTTTTCAAAAAAAATTAATAACTTGTCAAAAAGAAAGCACCAGGCCCAGATATATTCCTGGTGAATTCTGTCAAACATTTAAGGAAGAGATTTTGCCAGTTTTCTACAATCTCTTTCAGAAGACAGAAGCAGAGAAAAAACTTCTAAATCATTCTGTGAGCCAGCATTACCATAATACCAAAACCAGAAAAAGACATTAAAAGAAAAGACTACTACAGATCAATATCTCTTATGACGTAAGTGGAAATTTCTTTTCTATCTCTTAAATATAAAATGCAAAACTATACAATTCCTGGAAGATAATATAGGACAAAACCTAGGTGACCTTGGGGTATGGTGATGCTTTTTTAGATGCAATTCTGAAGATATTATTCATAGAAGAAATACAGTGGACCCTTGAACAACACAGGTTTGTACTATGGAGGTCCACATATACACAGATTTTTTATGGTACTGTAAACATATTTTCTCTTCCTTATGGCTTTCTTAATAACATTTTCTTTTCTCTAGCTCACTTTATTATAAGAATACAGTATATAATACATGCAACATACAACATACATGTCAATCAACTGTTTATGTTGTTGGTAAAGCTGCCAGTCAATAGTACGCTGTTAGTGTAGTTGGCCCTTGGACAACACAGGGCTTCAGGGCACCAACCCCTTGTGCAGTTGAAAATCAGCCTACTAACTTCTGACTCTCCACAAATTTAACTACTATTAGTGGTAACTATTAACTATGCACAAGGAAACCCATGCAGTTCAAACCCATGTAGTTTGCGTGTGAACTATAATTAAGTTTTTGGGAAGCCAAAATTTATACATAGCTTTTTAGACTGCATGGAGGTCGATGCCCCAACCCTCTCTTTATTCAAGCACCAACTACAATTGATAAACTCAACTTCATTACAATGAAAGCCTGTCATTCAGTGGAATATAGTATGTTCATAGGGCTTTGCAGTCATTTTAAGTTTAGGGCATTTCCATCACCCACAGAAGAAATCCTGTCCTCATTAGCATTCACCCCTCATTTCCCCATAGCCCCCAGGCAACTGCTAATCTACTCTCTGTCTTTATAGATCTGCCTGTTCTGGACATTTCATATAAATGGTATCATACGGTAGCAGTCTTTTATGAATAGCTTCTTTCACCTAGCATAATGTTTTTAAGGTTTATCCATGTTATAGCATGTATCAGTACTTCATTTTCTTTTATTGTAATAGTCTATTGTATGGACATGCCACATTTTCATCAGTTGGTAGACATTTGGCCTGTTTGCACTTTTTGCCTATGATAAAACTGCTATGAGCATTGGTGTACACATTTGTGTGTGTGTGTATACATATGTTTTCATTTTCCTTGGCTGTACACCTAGGAGTGGAATTGCTAAGCCATATGGTAACTCTGTTTAACACAAGGAATTGCCAAACTGTTTTCCATAGTGACTATATAATTTTACATTTATACCGGCAATACACAGGGTTCCAGTTTCTCCGGAATATCCTTTCTCCGAAAATCCTTTTGAGAATTGCCAAACTGTTTTCCATAGTAACTATATAATTTTACATTTATACCAGCAATACACAGGGTTCCAGTTTCTCCGGAATATCCTTTCTCCGAAAATCCTTTCCAATACTTGTTTATTTCCCCCTTTTTGTTTGTTTTTGTTTTTTTTTTTAATAGTCCTTCTAATAGGTGTGAAGTTGAATCTCATTGTGGTTTCAATTTGCATTTTCCTAGTGATTGGTAATGTTGAACATCATTTTATGTGCTTATTGGTTATTTGCATATTTTACTTAGAAAAATGTCTCTGTAAACCCTTGCCTATTTTTTGTTTTTTAATATTACAATTTTATTAGATATTTCGTTGAACAGAGTATGCTTTTTAAATGAGTAGACTTTGTTAGAGAAGTTCTAGGCTTACAGAAAATTGAGCAGATTGTACAGTTTCCTCTCCCACGGTCAGTTTCCATTTATTACTACTTGAATCCGTGTGGTCCATTTGTTATAAAGATAAGCCAATATTGATACATTATTATTAGCTAAAGTCCATAGTTGATATTAAATTTCACTCTTTGTGTTGTAAGTTCTATGTCTTGACAAATACATAATGTCATGTATCCAGCATTATAGCATCATGGAGAGTAGTTTTACTGCCCTAACAATGCCTTGTGCTTCACTTATCCTCCTTCTCTACTCCCAGCCCTTGACAACCATTGATCTTTTTGCTATCTCTATAGTTTTACCTTTTCCAGAATGTCATTTCGTTGGAATCATACAGTATGTAGCATTTCCAGACTGGCTTCTTTGACTAAGCAATATATATTTTAAGTTTCCTCTCTGCCTTTTCTTGGCTTGATAGGTCATTTCTTTTTATTGCTAAATAATATTCCATTGAATTGATATACCACAATTTATCTATTCACCTTTTGAGGGACATTTTGGTTACTTCCAGTTTTGGGCAATTATGAATAAGCTGTTATGAACATATGTGTGCAGGTTTCTTTGTGGATCTAGTTTTTGGTCCATTTGGGTAAATACTTAGAGGAGTACGATTGCTGGAATATAATAAGGTTATATTCAGTTTTGTAAGAAACTGCCAAACTGCCTTTTAAAATGACTGTACCATTTTGCATTCCCAACAAAAGATTAGGGTTCCTGTTGCTCTACATTCTTGTCAGAACTTGGTATTGTCAAGGTTTTTTTTTTGTTTGTTTGTTTGTTTTTTGCTTTTGAGATGCCAGCCATTCTGATATGTAGTGTATCTCACTGTTTTAATTTGTGGCTCTTGAATGAGAATGATGCGGAGCATCATTTTGTATGATTATTTGCCATCTGTGTATCTTCACTGGTGAGGTATCTGTTCAGACTTTTTGCCCATTTTTGAACTGGGTTATTGTCCTTTTATTATCAAATGGGAAGAGTTATTTACATATTCTGGAAACCAGTCCCTTATCACATATATGATTTGCAAATTTTCTATCCTATTCTATAGGTTGTCTTTTGATGGTAACATTTGCACTACAAAAGTTTTGTGTATTCCAGTGGCTTCATCTTAACTCTTACTAATTGTAGCCAGAATATACAGGGGCAGAAACAAAAATAAGTAAGAGGAAGAGCAGTAGGAAGAGCCAGGAGAGGAGAGACGCCTTTGGAGAGGCATTGCCACAAAGCCCTGGGTGGAGAGGAAGGAATAAAGAGGATGGAGGAAAAGAGGCACCTTTAGCTCTGGCCCAAGTCCCCGCAGTGGATGCCGTTTGCTTTGTAGCCCCGGATTTTCTCTGAGAAAGGGATATACATGTAAAAGGAATTTTTGAGGTCCTTCTAAAGAAAATACCGGTGTTCAATGTTCCTCCAGGGCAGGGACTCTATTTCCTTTACCTTTTCATCCCTAAGCGCCTAACACAAACCCCGGCAGAAAGACTTTCCGTAAATGTTTAGAGAGGGGGAAAGGTGAGAGAAAATGCATCAGGCCGGAGGGGGAAGTTTACTAGTTGTGGAGGTTGTTTGAAGGCAGGGCGTCTCAGTCAGTCCCCGCTAGGAAAAAGTTGTCTCCGAGAACAACCTGGGAGGCAACTAAATAATTTCTGATTCCCACTGTGTACAGAAGCTGAGGGTTCCCAAGACAGAGATGGGGACCCGAGAACCTTCTGTGGAGTGAGGAGACTAAGCTGATACCATATCTGAGCCGTCCTCAGGAGAAGGAGGGAGGGGAGGAGAAAGAAGAGAGGGAGGAGGTGGAGCCTCGGGACCAGCATCCGCCAGTGGAGCTTGGGAAGCCTCGCTTTCCCCTCCCTCGTTGCCTCCACCTGGCTCCTCCCCGCGTTCGCCAAGCTCCCCTCCCCCTTCCCCAAGGACAGTCTGCAAGGAAGCCGTGGCGGTGGAGAGCTGAGACTAAAAGGCAAGAGGGGCCCTTGTGTAAAGACCCAGGGGAAAGCCGAGAGCGAGGTGGGGATCACCGTGCTGGGAGGAGGAGGTGGGGAGAACTGGAAGGAGCTGACGGGAAAAGAAGAGGTGGTATGGCATGTGAAGCTGGAGGGAAGAGGGGGGATGGGTATGGCCGTCGTGAAGAATCCTAGCTCTTGGGCTCAGCTCCCTCTGCTTGCACGCACAGCCCCATCCCTGGAAACCAGGGATGGGTGAGTAGTGCTGGACCTCGTTGCCCTTGGCTGCCTGACTCCTATCCTGGCACTTGTCCAATTCAAATCAGTGCACCTGTGATGTTGTCTCCCTGTATTTTTCCCTCCCGCGCGCTTACCTACACACATGTGATTTTATATTTAGATTTTATGCCTGTGTTTCTACGTGTGTGTCACTGTGAATCTGTTAAGGATGCTTAGAGACGAATCTGCGTACATTTGGTATTCCGTGCCTTTAGAACTGGTTTAGAGATGCAGAAGAATCCGAGCTGTTTGCAGGTCAGCACTCCTAACCTTCTCCCTTGTTATGGTGAATTCTCTCCCTCAGGGAAGCCCCCAGGGGTGAAAGATCAGAGTGTGGGTTTGTAAGTGAGGAGCTCCCAGAGTGAATGAGAGGAATAAACTCAAGGGAAAGGGATCAGCATACTCATGTTTGTTCTTCTGTTCCCAAATTTTTGCCTTCCTATTTGCACTAGCTAGTTAGTCTTTCTTTTTTTGAGAACAGCAGAAAATTGAACATGAACACTCTAGTTATTAGGAGAGTGTCTCCATCCATGTCTGTTTATTGTATTTCTTTCACTGTTTGTCATTATATGCTTTTTAAAGTCCTATTTGTATCTGTGTGTGTTAGAAATAGAGTATGGGGGGCGCCTGGGTGGCTCAGTGGGTTAAAGCCTCTGCCTTCGGCTCAGGTCATGATCCCAGAGTCCTGGGATCGAGCCCCACGTCGGGCTCTCTGCTTAGCGGGGAGCCTGCTTCCTTCTCTCTCTCTCTGCCTGCCTCTCTGCCTACTTGTGATCTTTGTCTGTCAAATAAATAAATAAAATCTTAAAAAAAAAAGAAATAGAGTATGGAGCTATGTATCTAAGCATATTAAATAAAAGTTTTCATATGCCTGTGTGCATTTTGTATTGTTTGTCAGTTCCCTAATGCTTTCAGCAACGATTTATTGAACTGTGATGTGCACAGACTTCACCAGGCTTTGGAAAGCTGTGGGAGAGTTTTTTAAAAATGAACATGATCCCTCCCTGGAGGATTGTTCAGTCTAGTTAGGGAAAATGGCTTATAGCAATCATCTATCCCGGGGTCTGCAAACACTTTCTGTAAAAGGCCAGATAGTAAATATTTTAGTCTTTGCAGGCTATCTGGTCTCTGTCACCATAATCTACTCAGTTGTGGTAGTCAGAAGCAGCCATAAGATGATGTGTGAAAGGAGAGTGGTATGGATAATGAAATTTTAATTTCATGCAATTTTAACATGTCATGAAATTGTTTTTTCAACCATTTAAAAACGTGAAAACGTTTCTTAGTTTGCTGCCATATGAAACCATAAAAGGGGCTAGATTTGGTCCATGTGCTATATAGCTTGCTGACTCCTGATCTAGTCCGACCTTCTTTTCAATATATGAGAAGCAATTTAAATACCACATAGGGGCGCCTGGGTGGCTCACCCGGTTAAGCAGCTGACTCTTAATTTCTGCTCCAGTCATGATCTCTGGGTCCTGGGATCTAGCCCCAAGATGGGCCCTATTCTCAGCAGGGAGTCTGCTTGGGATTCTTTCTTTCCCTCTGTCCCTCCCCATTGTGTTCTTTCTCTCTCTCTCTCTCAAATAAATAATAAATTTTTAAAAATCACATAGAGTAGTGATTAAATGCTAAATGAATGATCCAGTACCAGACAATATGTGATGAGAGGAAGTCCCAAAAGAAACTCCTTGACCTGTGAGGTCATCAGTGAAGGCTTAATAGAGTTAGTATTAATAAGGTTGTGACTAGGACTATTCTTAAATGATGGACTGGGCTATTGATCCGGGGAAAAGGGCCCGGGGGGCCTTCTGGATGTGGGATCAGTGTGCCTAAGTACACACATGGGGAGGAGCAAAGTGATGTTCAGGTGATGATGGAGCAGGAAATTCATGGGAGCAAAGGTTGAAGCGGTAGGCAAGGGCCAGATCATGGAAGCTTGGACCGCCAACCCAAGAAGCAAGCATGGATTATGTGTAGTTTGTGAGGCTCTGTGTCCCTTAATAATGCTATGTGTTTTTGTTGTAGGTGTGTCTCCATGAGTGTCCCATTGCACGTATTTTATGGACACGTGTGTGGATTTGTGTGGTTATGTGACCTGTGTCTTTATCAGCAGCTCCCCTCCCCTGATTTCCCCAGATTCACAGCAGAAATAGGAGCTGTGCTTAAAGGTCATCAGGCCCCGTTCAGGTGAATGCATCCTCTCTCCACCGACGCCCCAGGGTCTACCGACCTTCTGTGGAGGTTTGTTTTGTGTCTTTGATAGAGTGGAGAAGGGAAACAAACAGAGGGAGAGCAGCTATTGTAGGCAATTCCGGTGGAGAGAGACAGCAAGGATCGCAAAGAAGAGAAGGGTAAAGGCAGATAGAAGGGAGAAGAATAGGATTTGGTAACCATTTTGACTCTGAGAGTAAGGAGGAGATAAATTTAAAAATTTAGGTTTTAGCCTGGGTAACTGGGAGAGTGATGATTCTGTTGACATTTTAAGGATATGAAAGCGTGTCTTGTATGTTCCTGTGAGAGAGATAAATAAGACTTGCAAACAAAAATAGGAAGGTGGTCACATGTCAGGTGTCTCTATCGCTGCAAATGTGGCGATGATTCTGTTACTCTTCCCGCCAGATAACATGTGTGAGGTGCAAGGCCTGAAGGGGAGTCAGGCGACGCCCAGGAGGCAGGGAGCCTGAGAGTATGGGAGAAGCCCTGGAATGTCTTTAACTGTCCCTGAGCCTGAACCATTGATTTGTACAAGCTCAAATGTGCATGTAAAACCTCAAACTCTAGTTCTAGCTTAGCTCGATTCCATACAACTGAACCCTGATTTTCACCGTAACCCAGCCTACCCTTGCTTTCCTGCTTCCATCTTGCTGGTTCTCAGTCAGTGCCCCAAACCTCATCGGAGTCCGCTGTCTACAACAGCCTTTCCCTTCATGAAAGCCCCTCTCTTCCCTTGAGGCGAACTTGACTTTCCTCCTTGCTTTCTCATGGTCTGTTCGGTCGACTGCCCTTCCCCTTGACCTTAGCTTGTTCTCCAAATAGGCTCCAGTTGAGGTGGGAGGGATTAGCTAGGACCTTTGCGGTGCTGGGTTTGATTACTGTGACATTTCAGCCTGTCACTCTGCGGGGGTGTGGCCTTCCTCTGGAAGAAGTCCAAAGCACTCAGGCTGTAAAGCCCAGACTTAGTATAGTGAGAAAGTCTGACTGAGGCGGCTCTCACCAGTCAAACAGCCATTTCCCCGAGCACCTTGATCTACTTGTGTCTTAACGGGTCATTCCCTTGAATTTCAGAGTGGATCATGACCCATGAAGAGCACCATGCAGCCAAAACCCTGGGGATTGGCAAAGCCATCGCCGTGTTAACCTCTGGTGGTGATGCCCAAGGTAAGGAGGAAGGTGCTGCTTGGGGAGGGTCAGCAAACATGGCTGGTGGGCCCCCTTGAGTTTCTTGACTCCCTTCACCTGTAGAACAAGAACTGTCCTCCTTAATGTCCTCCTGCTGTAGATTCACGCTGGAATCCTGGTTCTTCCCAAAATTCTCTGTCAGGTCTAAGTCCCCAAGTGCTTCTGGATATTGTTTGCTCTAATTTACTCAAATCTTCATATAACTTCTTTCTAGGTTTCTCTGAAGATTTGGGACCATTTGGGCCTTTTGGTATCTAAAAGACAGGTGTTTCCTCAAGCCGCATTAGAAAGAGACTAAAGAGATAAAATTGTTGAGAAATCAGTAGGTGGATTCATTTCTAGGACACCGAAGTAGTGGGGAAAGGGAGGGACCAGAATTGGGATTTGGTGGGCCCTAGCTAGAGCCTCAGTTATTGCCTCTGATGTCTGTGGGGCTGCTGCACTGACCAGGGTCCAGCATCTCATTCCGATAGCACATTCCCTTCTAGTAGGCACAGTTCCACTCCGTTTTCTGTTTTCTCTGGCCTTTTCCTTCTCTTCCATTCCTCCAGCCCTCTAACAAACAGAAACAGCAGCAGCTAATTGGTACAGACCCATAGGGTGAGGTCTGGGGGTGGGGTGGGCAGACAGCAAAGCCAGAGAGAACCACTTTCTGGGTTGAGTCCCAGAAACCTGGAAGTCAGGAAAATCAGGTATATGGCAAAATGAAGTGGGAGGTAGAGAATGTGTGATCTTTTTTCTCGTTTGATGGTCTCATATATTCTAGTTTATAATACCTTGAAGAGAGGCAGACTGTCTTTGAGAGGGACACCAGGACATGGACACTGTGCTGGAATAAGAGAGAAGGAAAGAGATTTTAGCTGGTCTCCCCTTCACTCCATTCCTCTGTCTCTCTAGGCTTCCTAGACTTTGTGTTAAGCACCCATTTTGTTTGGGGCCTTGTCCTGTGTGTTTTGAAAAAGTTGATTTCCTTGGGGAACTTACAGTTCTAGGAGGAGAGGTAACATACATTTCTAGAGTGTTTCTACATTTCTTCTGTGAGACTCATAAATAACAATAATCAAGTGTGCCTTAAGCAAGTAGAACCCACTTATATCATGAAATGTTAGGCTTTAGTAGGACTAACCAGGGAAAAGTTCCCAGGCAAGGTAGATTTCAAGAAACTGAACTTTTCATTGAATGGATTCTTGCTTCAACAGTGCCTGGTACATAGTAAGTGCTAAATAAACATATTCCTAATTAAGTGCAAAGGAATTATTGAGCACCTGTGTAGCAAGCAGGATGGTGGGCACTAAGGATACATTGACGAAAAGGTCACAGGTTGTCTTCACTCTTACAGTCCTTCTCATGAGTGTCATTAGTGAATCTAGACTTTAAATATGTTTTAAACTAATGTTTATTGAGTTACACCTGTGATATATATTATGAACACGAGAATGCTAGAACGAAGACACTTAGGGAAGAGGGCCAGAAGTCTGAGTTCGGGAATGGTGACTGGATTGGGAATGCAGAGCCCTGCTTGAGGCCGGCCTGGCTTCTCTTGCTTCTCTGTTCTCTCCTGGAAAGACTCCCATGCTACGTAAACTCTTGAGTGGTGACCCTAAGACCTTGGTAGGGCGGGTTGTGAAATTGGATGAAGTGAAGCAGGAGCCTGCTGAAAATCCAAGGGAGGTATATGAAGTTAGGAAATTATGAAAAAGAAGGGCTCTCTGGAGAGGGGGAAGTGGTTAAAAAAAAAAAAAAAAGGAGAGAGAGAGAGAGACACCTAGGATTTAACTTGGGTCTAAGAGCAGCAGAGCTCTTCCAGCTTCAGATCCTGAGCAGAGAAACCCTCATTTTAGAGAGACTGTCACCTGCTTCACAGGAAGATCATCCTTCCTGGAGGCAGGGGTTAGCATAAGCTGATTTGCAGAGGGCCAGCTGGACCCAGGCCTGTAGGGTCTTGTGACAGGCACGGTGTCCCCAAGGAAACATCCCATTAGGAGGCCACATAACATCACAGGTGCATGGGAGCAGTTGGGACAGGATGAAACTGAGAGAGGCAGGAAGCAAAGCAGAAAACTCAAAGCAGAGCTGAGAGATCCCAGCTGAAGGAGCAGCTCAAATACAGCAGTGCCCGCCCAGAGATCAGTTTCATGATCTTTAGTTTTCCCAGGGAGAGCGGAGCATAGAAATGATTTTTCCCCAGGCTGCGGGCCACACGGGAGAGTGAGATCGGGCTCTGTAAAATCCAGACAGGCCACAGCTCTGTCATTCCCTGAGTTCAGCAAAGCTCGTAACTTCTTAAAGTAGAAGAGAGGCCAGAAAGCAGCCTGAGTTCAGAAGCTGGTCTGAGTAGATACAAATCCTAATTCCCGCTTCAGCCCAGGAATGGCCCCAGCTCTGCTCAGTAATACCACACTGGTCATTCTGACATTGGCTTATTCTGCTGGAAAGGATCTCAGTCGTCTGCTCTGGCCCTATGTCCTCAGAGGGGCAGTCCATTCCGAATGCCTGTCTATCCTGTTTGCAAAGGTTTTAGAGGTTTACAGGAACAGGGATTCGATGACTTCTCTGGATTGCTGTTCTAGGATTCATAATTTGAATTACATATTCAGAAGTGTAATTCAGGTCTAACATTTATTTCTCATGTTGGAATTTAAAGGATCTTTTTTTTTTTTTCCTATTCAGAGTTCAGTTAAGGTAGAAAGAAACTTTTTAACATTTGCTTTCAAAAAGGTAGTGACCAAGTCATTTATTAGTTTGTTTCTGTCTCATGTGATAGGGACCCATCACCCATAGAACCGTAGTTCTCCCCAACACCTCTTCCCTACAGGCTGTAATTAGAAACTCCAGACTACGTGCCTCTGATGTTCTCCAGAGCCCCTCTTCGCTGTACCCAGAATACCCCCTGGGTGGTGCCTGTAATCTTATCCTTCGTCTTGCTTCTAATAAGTGAGACAGCTGCGAACACAGGGTTATTTAGGGCAACGTGGAACAGCCAAGGAGAGCCTGGCCAGGACTGGTCTGGGGCCAGAATAGGCCAGTAATGTGAAGTGGGAGAGCCCAAAGAATTACTGGGACTCCCTAGTAAAAGTTAGTATACATCCCAGTCTGTGATTTCTAGGGAACTGGGGGTTTGAGATGCAGGTATAGGGGACGAAGGAAGTCTTAAAACTTGGTTTCTAGGAAAATGGCTGTCCAACTTAGAGGCTGGAAGGATGACCTCTGGAGGTTGATAAGATGGGGTGAGAAGGTAAAGCAAGGAGAGAAGAGAAAGAATTTTCTTCTTCCCAATGGATTTGGATGACAGCCATTGTTTACACTTAAAACCTTTTAAGTCATTTGTTTTTCTTAAGTCTTTTTTACCCTACCCTTACTCAGTTAGGGAGTGGGAAACAGCATTCTAACTTACAAATTTCAGAAGAATGTTTTTTCCTTATTTTTTAAAATTACAGCTTGTGCTCCAGAACTGTAGGTATCCCAAAGAGAATCCCAAAGGCCTTGTCAAAGTCTAGAAAATGAATAAACAATAGTCATTTGTATTCTGATCTTATAGACTTTATTCCACCTTCCTAAAGCACAGGTGGTTGTGCATTGACTCTGACTTTGCTCTTTTCATAAACATAGGCTTTTCCTAAAACTTCTGAGAAGCCTGCTCCCATCACAGATTTTTCCATTTTGATCCCTTCAAGTTGAGAATGTGAACCTAGACTTCTAGACTCTGACAGTGCTGCTCACCAGGGACCTCTTGTAGGCAAGCCAAATCTTTCAGTTCTTACCTGAGATCAATTTTGGGAGCCTTCAGCATTGTTCCAGCTTCTTGAAACTGTCCCCTTTGGCTTCCATTGCTAAGCTGATTTTCCATCTATCTTTATTGCGGCTCCTCCTCAGTCTTCCTCCTGGATCCCATTTTCCCCTGCCCTTTCTTTCAGTATTGGTTTTCCTCTGGGTTCCATTCCTTGCCTTTCCCATTTGGATTCTACGTATTCTCTTGAGACAGCCTCCTCCAAGTGCATGTGGATGTCCCACAAGAACTTCAATATGAATGTGTCATCCGCACCCCCACCTGTCTGACTCAAAACCTGCCTCCGCTCGGTTAATCGCACCACCATTGTACCCTGCAGCTGAATCATTCTTGGGGCGTTTCCATCCCCCTCTCCAACACCTTGAAATCTAACCACATAGCTGTGCTGCTTCCGAGGTGTCTCCCGTCCAGTGTATCCTTTTTGCCCCCACTGCCACTCTCCCAGTCCAGGCTGTCCATCATTTTTGCGTAGGATGCCCAAGAGCCATCTTATCCCTGCATCCTCCGTGTTGCTGCCACGGTGATCTTTCTGATATGCACAGAGCATAATGCCTCTCTGCTCTCGAAAGTCTGCAAAGATTCCCCATCATTTGCAACTTTTTTTTTCCAGGTCACATACCCCTTTAAGTATCATATGAAAGCTGTGGACCTTCTCCCAAATGAAATTCCTGTGCCCAGAACACTTTTCGTAGTTTCATGGGGTTCATGAAGTCCCCAAAACTACCACCCATGGATCTCCAGTTGAACCCTGGCCTACAGAATAAGAGTCACAGTTCCTCATGTGGCGTTTGGGTGTCTGCCCAGCTGTGTGTGGCTTCATCTCATGCCGAGAGAGAGAGCACAAGTCAGGGGAGGGGCAGAGGGAGAGGGAAGAGCAGACTCCCCACCAAACAGGGAGCCCAATGTGGGGCTCGATCCCAGGACCCTGGGATCATGACCTGAGCTGAAGGCAGACACTTAACTGACTGAGCCACCCAGGTATCCACCTAAGGTTGTTTCTTGACTTGCCTTCATTTGTGCTATTCTCCTGTCTAGAACACTCACCCAAAGTGTCCATCTGACAAAAAAAGATTTATAAGGATATTGTCCTTTGGGTCTTAGGTCAAATGCTGTCATTTCTGTATAACGTGTCCTGACTTCCTCCTGGCAGTTGAGATGCTCCTTTTCCTTGTTTCCACTGTGCTTTGTACATATCCCCTTTGTAGGGATCCATGTTGTAACCATATTATATTCTTTGCAAGTCTTGAGGACCATTACCTTAATTTTGTATCCCTAGACTATATCATTCACTACTATTTCCCTAGTGCCTATATAGTGCCTGGAGCATGTATTCAATAAATATTTGCTCAATGAGTGAATGGCCCTTCGATCTGATTTGGCACTTATAGCCATCTAATACCAAATCTTGTCAGCCTGCAAACTGCCCCGCCCCTCAAAAAACCCCAGACATTTTGGTCTTTTTTATTCTGTTCCATTCCAGGTAGTTTGGGATTTTGTAGTAGTTCTTGATGGATTTTAGTTTGCTGCTGTGGATTCTTCTAACTACTGGTTTCCCTAGTGCTCACTGGAATCTGGTGTTTCTCTGGCCAGGATTAAGGACCCTAGGAATAGACTTTAGATTGAAACAAAACGAACTGGGGTATCTGAGGGAAGGTGGTTCAAATGGTTCACAAGAAATTGATCTATCTTGGCTTTGAGATTCCTTGAGCATCACGGTGAGCCCCTCCTCTCATTACAAGGTAGGAGGGGCTTACTGGGATCAAGACACGGGAGTGTCTTCCATCTCTCACCAGGGAAGCCCTGCTTTCTTCGTACAGTTATCAGTAGCACTGGTTCTAATATGGCGGCCTTTATAGCTTCCACCGTGTGTCGTGTGTTGTGGGGGGTGGTTCCTCCACGGTATCCATGGCAGAGACTGTTCTTGCTACTGAGTAGCTACTGGAAAAGAATGATGCTTAAGTGGGAGAAAGGGTAAAGGCTCTCCTCTCTGTTTTAGTCCTAATTAGTGTTAGTCCCAATTGTTTCTTCCAGTGGAGATAGTGACTCTGTGACTGTGACTTCTTTGGACCTTAGTTTCCAAATCTGTAAAATGGAGGCAGCTTCAGAGTTGTGGATAGGAGTCAATGAGATGAGGTTTAATAAGCATTTAGCAATGTCTAACAACACTACAGTAAGCATTCAAGATGATGATTCCCTCGATTGCCCTGGCGAGGATAGGTCTTAGGAAAGATGGGATTTGGGGGAAAGGGAGAGATATCTGGAGCTACATAAACACTAAACATGGTAATTCAGTGTTAGTGGGGAGGCTGGAAGACTTGGAGGAGAGAAGTATTCTAGATTCAGAGAAAAGCCTAAGAAAAGGACTGGGTCATATCTTGTAGTCCAAGCTGCTTTTCTGAGGACTAACTTCTCCCTATTGTCTTTCCTCCCTCCTTGCAGGTATGAATGCTGCTGTCAGGGCTGTGGTTCGAGTTGGTATCTTCACTGGTGCCCGTGTCTTCTTTGTCCATGAGGTTGGTTCTCTACTTTGTTCTTCATCATTCTTTCTCTGTTTTCTGCTCCTCCCTCCCTACTGTCTCTTTCCTCTCCTCCCAGTTACATGCTATGTCTCACCTGTCTTGGCTCCCCATCTGCATGAGTATCCCCTGCCACTCCAGTCTCTGATATTGATGGTGGGATCTAGGGGTCTATAGACTGGGTCCTCATGGTGCCTGTCCAATTTAGGAAATAAGTACCTCATTTCAGAGTATTTCACAGAAAATTTAGTATATCCAGAGATAGAGCCTTTGGAAGGAAGAGTCTCATCAGGTTTCTGTAGTTTCCTGAACCTTCTGCGGGTCTAACTCCTCTACCATTCTCTCCCTTCCCTCTCGTTCTTTGTCCGCTCTTCGCTCTATGAGATTTATTTGCTTTCTTCCCAATTTCCTCTTTTCAAGTCCCACTTCTCTCCCTCCTTCCCTCCAACACCCTTCTCTTTTCCCTCTGCTATTATCAAAGCCATCTGTTATCTAGTTCCCTGGGAAGCAGATTGGAGGACATGGGATGAGCCAGAAGAAAGGGGAATTAGGATGAAATATCAGAAAGGACATCCTGCCCTTTTTAGATTGTAAGAAACTAGAAGAGGGTATTGAAAGTTGATGTCTTCTTCCTTGGACTGTGTTAAATATGACAGTGTCATGGGCATCCAGGAACAGTAATGACAGGAGGTGATTTGATTCTGAGAACTTCTTCCCAGGATCCTGTCTTAATCGTGGGGGTTTAGGAGAACTGGCCTAGCAGAGGCTGAATGGGTGTAATGTGCCCCACAGGGTTACCAAGGCCTGGTCGATGGCGGAGATCACATCAGGGAGGCCACCTGGGAGAGTGTTTCGATGATGCTGCAGCTGGTATGTTCCCGAAGACTTCTGTCCCATGTTTGTCCTGTCCTTGCTGCACCCCACTCTGGTTTGGCCTCATGGTTGCTCAAGTCCCCCCCATGTGGCTCGATGTGAAGGGGTCTATGACAAGAGAGGTGCTACGACTGTCCTTTACTCTTTGAGTCTGAAAATATGTCCCTGTTTTCCTAGGGTGGCATGGGGACGGGAATGCGGTCACAGGACAGTTTGCTCTTTATAGAAAGGTCATAGGCAAGACTTGAGGAGCCACTATGTAAGCAGGACCTGCTTTGGGATCACGGGGAAGGCCTGGCTATGAAAATAACTTTACCGGAGGACTGGAGCCAGAGCCAGAAGTAGAGCTGAAATCTGCCAGTCCTCATGTGATGGAGATAATGTCACCTGAAACCAAAGTGTTTAAGGGAGGAAGGAACCAATATAGCATTTCAGAGTTTCCAGAAAACACCCTAAGATTATGCTGACTATATCCAGAACCCTTTGTGCCACTTTCTCTAAGTCATATACCTATTTTCTGATTTACTGAAAAATCTGCAAATTACATTTGTATCCCCATTCTTTACTTCAACCCTCTAAGAATCCATAGGAAGAATTTTAATGTGCATTACTTCGTGAAGGTTCTCTATAAGCAATAATGCCTGCAGTAAAGTGGTCTGAGAATGAGCCAGAATTCTCCGTCAATACTCCCAAAGGCATGGAGCCAATTACTTAGCTCTCTCGGGGTATCTATAAGCCCCTGGGAATACTCAGAGCTATTTCTCCTGTGAATACCTAGGTATTGTGTCTCCTCTCACTAGCACCATAGTCTGAGGAGCAGAGAGGAAATTGGCAGTGCCTGGTTGCAATTAGAAATCAGTGAGTTCAAGAGGGAAAAGGTACTACCAAGCACATTGGGATGAACTCCTAAGAATAGTTTAGATGCAGTGTGATGAAGTCAGGTCACTAGGGAGAATTTCCAGGACTGAAGCCAGTGTTATTTCTTGTGAAAGATGGAGATTATTCCAAAAGCCAACTGCATGTATGTATTCCTTTGTCTTCCTGAGGATAATCACTTTGATGACAAAGTCTTCAATGAAATGGGTTGATCTTAGTCTTCGAAGAGGTATAGCAGAATATAAGGAGTAACCCTATGATAGCTCAGCCAGTATCATTTCTCTCTCTTCTAGAAAGGACAGATGGCCCTTCAGGATGTCAGGGGTCTTTCTAGAAAGGCACGTGGTTAGGACAGCCCATCACAGTGTTGGAATGGAGGAAATCTTAGCATGTTGAGCCCAAATTTGGCCGTGTCCTCTGGGGAGCTGACTTCTACCTCTTCCCCACAGGGAGGCACAGTCATTGGAAGTGCCCGGTGCAAGGACTTCCGGGAACGAGAGGGGCGACTGCGAGCTGCCCACAACCTGGTGAAGCGTGGGATTACCAATCTGTGTGTCATTGGGGGTGATGGCAGCCTCACTGGGGCTGACACCTTCCGTTCTGAGTGGAGTGACTTACTGAGTGACCTCCAGAAAGCGGGTGAGACGTTGTTGTCCTAAGTATGGTTTGTGTGCCTGCACACACCCCCATCCTCCCACTGGAGGAAGTCATTACCTAGATGCCAACGGACAGTCTCTGGCCTCCTTGTTCTGCCATTGCTTATGGTTCCCATTGGCTGCAGATCCTTCCCTCCCCAGTCACCTCCTCTTTCGGCATGCCAGGCACCTCACCCAGTGGCTTCCACTTCGCTTGTCTTTGTCAGGTAAGATCACAGCAGAGGAGGCTACAAAGTCCAGCTACCTGAACATCGTGGGCTTGGTGGGCTCGATTGACAATGACTTCTGCGGCACTGATATGACCATCGGTACTGATTCTGCCCTGCATCGTATCATAGAGATCGTGGACGCCATCACCACTACTGCTCAGAGGTAAGGGGCAGTGTAGGAGGGTGGCAACTAGGACTGGCTGAAGGGCTGGGGTCTAGGGAAGATGAATGCTTTGGAGCTGTAGACTCTAACAACCAGTTTTCTGGGGCCAGAATGCTGTTTTTAACGAAGAGTTATCCCTGGAGCCCTGAAATGGTGCTGCCATCTAAATGCTGTGGGTTTGCCTCTTGTCGCTGTCTAGTGCACTGTCCATACTGTAGCTCTGAGGGCTTTAATACCCAGAGGGTCCCCAAATGATTAGGGGCCAATATGAGATGAATCCAGGGAGCCCCAAACCTCAGCCACCCTTTCAGCCAAGTCATAGTGACTGTGGTGGCCACCACCACTGCTCAGAGACTGTGAGAAGGAAGGACAGAAGGTCACAGTTTCCCAGGGTAATCCTCGGAGATTCCGGGCCAGTCGAGACCTCATTCTTCCCTTCCCTTCCCGGGCCCCCTCGCTCCCTGGAACAGAGCCACAGGACTGACACAATGTACTGCTGTATTTTAGCTACCCTGTGGCTGACGTGTTTCCCTGGGTCTCCCTGGTCTCTCAGGAAGCTTGCTGGAAGCCTGTTGGAAGCATAAATGCATCTCCCAGGGAGCTTTCATGGCTTGGATGTGGGTGGCAGCTTGATCCTGGCCACAGGGACACGAGGACTGTGTAAGCCCTTTGTCTCTCTCTTGCAGCCACCAGAGGACATTTGTGTTAGAAGTGATGGGCCGGCACTGTGGGTAAGATCCCCATCTGGAGTCACTGATTCTGCAATGGCTTTCTCTTCCCCAGAGAGTCCAAAGAGGTCTTCCAGGGGTAGCAGATTTGGAGGAAGCTCCTCTGCTTCCCTGCTTCCAGCACCAACCCCCCACCTACCCACATGTGCGGGGTTGTGCCTGTGTGTATGGGCCCAGGCACACTCCAGTGTGAAGGGACACACAGTGCTCTGAGATTAGAAGCTGCTTTGGTAGGTGAGCATGACTAGAAGGTGCTCCTCAGGGACAGAGGCCCACTGAGAAGCTGTCTCAAGAAGACACCTCACCCCAAGAAGGAAACCACAGACCTTCAGACCTTCCACTGACTATGGGGACAGGCAGACCCACTGGGTATGGGTGAGGCTGTTCGTGGATTGTGGCTCCTAGCGTGATGCTTCTGCCTCTCATCTCAGATACCTGGCCCTTGTCACCTCCCTCTCCTGCGGGGCTGACTGGGTTTTTATTCCTGAGTGTCCACCAGATGATGACTGGGAGGAACATCTTTGTCGCCGGCTCAGTGAGGTACTGGCACTCTATTTTGCCCTTAAAAAAACCCTCGCCTGTTCCACTGATGCTGCCTTCACATCAGTTTCCCTCCACTGAGCTCTCTTCTCTTTGCTCTTGACCAGACAAGGACCCGTGGTTCTCGTCTCAACATCATCATTGTGGCTGAGGGTGCGATCGACAAGAATGGGAAACCAATCACCTCTGAGGACATCAAGAACGTAAGTAGGAAGAACCCAGAAAGGGCTTGGACACCATTCCCTGCACCCTTCCCTAGTGATCTGAGTCTCCCCTTAGACCTTCTGTACATCTCTCCCCATGTTTCCTGCCCCCTGGTGTCCAAGGAATTGTGATAAGATAAGAGGCTAAGCCATTTGGGTTTATCTTAGTCTCTACTTGTTTTCAGCCTTTGACTCTTTATCCCTCTCTCTGTCTCTCTTTTGGTCTCTTTAGCTGGTGGTAAAGCGTCTGGGATATGACACTCGGGTCACTGTCTTGGGGCATGTGCAGCGGGGTGGGACCCCATCAGCCTTTGACCGAATCCTGGTAAGTCATGGGGTTATGAGGCCCTCACATGTTAGAACTCATAGCCTACAGAACTGCACTTCACCGTGACAGGGGTGCACCCCACTGACCATGCCGTCCGCCCCCAGCCTCTGATGGCACCGGCCCTTGACCCATTCCTGTACGTGTACCAGTTCTCTTCTGTTGCAAAAACTGGTGGGAAACTCTATGCTCCCCAAACGATGAGCTCCCAGATCTCCTTTGAGTATTAATGCTTTGAGCATTAATACCATTATAAGATCTAATTTCAGACTCTCAGATTGAACCCTCTTATCCTACTTTCATTGGAAGAGAGACACTATACTCTTCTTTATTTTATCAATAAGAAGAGAATATTAGTAAGCTTCAGTAACCTTGATTACTACAGTGGGCACATTTCTCTGGAATCAGATAGAATTCTAATGACAAGAGGATGAGGAATCATTAAGCTTAGATGAAATCTGAGTAGGGAGGGAAAGCCCAGTAAGTTCTTGACTGTAGTCCTCAGATACGCGGCTTGGTCCTGTGATCTGGACGGGCCTCAAGTGCCCTGGCTGTCCAGGCTGAGTCCAGATTAGGAGGCCTGAACCAGACTGCCTTTGCTCCCTGGGCTCCTGCAGGGCAGCAGGATGGGCGTGGAAGCCGTGATGGCACTTCTGGAGGGGACCCCGGACACCCCAGCCTGTGTGGTGAGCCTCTCTGGTAATCAGGCTGTGCGCCTGCCCCTCATGGAGTGTGTCCAGGTGGTAAGTACTGATGTCAACCCCACTTCCTAACAGCCCGGAGCCTGTCTTTGAGCTGAGAGGGAAAGAGACCCACTTCCAAGGCCAGTGGAGCAAGGAACAGATGGAAAGACAACAGGGGAGTCAGATGGGGAAAGAACATGATAGGCTCTGTATGGGAGCGGTCTCCTCTCTGAGTCTCAGGGTCCCCTTCTGTAAGTGTTCCTAAAGAATGTGACAGATGCTGCATCCCACCAAGTAATGAGACCCAACATCGCATAATATCCAACCTCAATTGCTTTTGCCACATCTTTGTGGGAAGAGGAATGCAGTAGCTCTCCAAACACTATGAAAAGCAGGGATAATAGTAAGGTCTGGCTGGCTGGCTTATATGTTTCTATAGTATCCACCTTGACCATGTTCCTCTGAACCAAAACAAGGTTTCTGACGCTCACCCTGAAGGCTAGTAGAGGGAGTGGCGGGACGCTTTGTAAAGGGTCTGCTGCAGTACCTGGAAAATGCTCAGCGCTCAGGGAGAGGTGGCTCTTACATGAAGGACTTGCTCCTCTGCTACCACAGAGCAGACATCGTGGCTGGGAGCTCAGGGGTCCGGCCCATCCTTGGGGCTGGTCTGCATGCACAGGGCTGAGGGGCCGTCTCCTGCCCCACTTCTCTCGGAGACTCAGAGAGTCCCAGCCACCTGCCCCACAGATACACTCCAACCTTTCTTGGAACTGTGTCTCTGGAAGCCCAAGAGTGAAAGCTCTGGCTCATGAAGAAGAAATCAGTAGCTGGGAAACACATGGCAGGGACTGGCCTTTCTCCCCGACTGCGCTCTCTGGGCGATTGTCTTCCTTTACTCAGTTTAGAGGCTGCTTTGAGGTTGTGTAATGGGTGTGGCATAGAGGGAGATGCTGTTCTGTGAGCACTCCTCCACTCTGCCCGTGTTCTAGTAAGTAGAGCATTGAATTGGCTCCTTCCTCTGGCTGCTCATTCCTCCCCAAATTGAAGACAAACAGATACTTCTTTCTGTGCAAGGTCGGGGGGCATGGAGCAGGTGGGGTGCCTGGTGGTCAGGAATCAGTCATAACCGTGGAGATGGGCCGGGTGTTCCCATGGGATATAAATCCAGCCGTGGAGAGCCCTGCCCTGTAGTTGTGACTCTAGCTATGCTCCTTCCTCAGACCAAGGATGTGACCAAGGCCATGAACGACAGGAAATTTGACGAAGCCATGAAGCTGAGAGGCCGGTGAGGGAATGACCAGAAGCTCCCTAGCTACAGAAATCAGATACTGGAATGAAGCAAAAATAAATAAATAAATAAATAAATAAATAAATAAATAAATAAATAAATAAAAGACATAGCTTCAGACCCAAAATAGGGGCTTTTTATTGCCTCTGCAACAGTTTCTTCTCCAGGAGAATGGGTGGGGAGGTGACCGGGAGGCACAGTACATCCCGGGGGTCTCTCCCTGGGATGTACCTTCTGTAATCTGGTGTCTCTGTGTGTTGATTCCAGCTAGGTTTTCTGTCTCTCTAGGGAAAGTGCAGCATCTCATGCTGCGTGCGGGGCTGGGAGGAGAGCACTCATGGAGGGTTGGATTAATCAGTGGCCCCTTTTAAGCCCCAACCTAGTCTCTGCTGTGTCCCAGTTATATCCTTCGAGGTTCGCCCTGTGGAACTTCACACCGCGAGCAAAAGTTCAGACCCCCTTGGCTGCTGGCATGGGGAGTGGCCTGGAGACACTCTGCTCTTTCTCTCTCTCTCTCTACTTTTTACAGGAGCTTCATGAACAACTGGGAGGTATACAAACTTCTGGCTCATGTCAGACCTCCAGTCACGAAGGCACCGGTGAGTTCTCCGCCCTTGACTCTCTCCTTCTCCCAGTCTCCCTCTACAAAGTGCTACTTTCACTCCACACAGCCTACAGCCTGGCCAGCTTCCTTGCCCCCTGTCATCTTTGGTACCGAGCCCCTGACCCTATTAAGAAATCGCTCAGCCACCCCAGATTCCAGCCCCATGTTCTTAGTGTGCCCCGGGCGTCTCAAACCCAAGACCCACACCCAGATTAGGACTGACAAGGTAGCTTGCAAGGAATGGGAAAGAAGTTTATGTATTTTTTTTTTTCCCCTGGGCAAATCTGGGAATAACCACGTCTGAGTGTACTTTAGCCACTTCCATTGCGGTAGTGGTTCTCGGTATTTGGGGTATATCAGAATTACGTGGGCTGCTTATTAAACATGCAGATTGCTGGGTACTTCCCTCAGAGAGGATTTAGATCTGGGGCAGAGGCCCAGGTTTAATGGCATAAAGATCACGTGGCCTGAGGATCATGCTTTGGAAGCTTTCATTCGTTACATAACGAGTGATGTGTGGGCTTAGGGACAGAGCTTTGCTTATTGATCGGTGATAGAGTTTTGCTTCCCTAGCATGAGGGAACAGGCTATGCCAGCATTCCTAGGGTAAGGGGGGTGTTATCCAGAGGCACGTGTCCTGATTTTGGGACCACCAGGGACTTGGGGTCGAGCTCCCCTTACCGACCTGCCCCCTTCTCTCTGCTGGGGTTTTGGTCCCTGTCTCTGCCCCACTCCCTCTCCGCTTCCTTCTCCCCAGGGTAGCACGCACACAGTGGCTGTGATGAACGTGGGGGCCCCGGCTGCAGGCATGAATGCTGCCGTGCGCTCCACTGTGAGAATTGGCCTCATCCAAGGCAACCGGGTGCTGGTTGTGCACGATGGCTTCGAGGGCCTGGCCAAGGGTCAGGTATGGGGACTAAAAGGACAGAGGGCACATACTCTGGGGCCAAGGAGCCATCACGAGGATGATAAGTGTAGCAGGGGGGACCTGTCCATTCTCCTTTCTCTTGCCCCCCACCCCCCAACCTCCCCTTCAGTTCTCTACCTTGCTTTCCTCTAAGGTTTTGAACAGAAGTAAATACTTAATTTTAGGGCTGTATGAACAGGCAGGAGCCACTAAAATGAACCATTTGCAGATCACATACCTTATTTCTCTATCCCAAAGCTTAGTGCGGTGTCTGGCATAAGTAGGCGCTTAATATTTGTGGATGAGCAGTAATGGTGGAGGAAGTTCATCGAGGTGGGGAAAGGCCGATGCCTGGTGTTCCTTCTCCCACCAGGGGTTGTTGGCGTGGGCTCAGAACACGGGAAGTGGTGTCAGTTCTCAGTGCACACCTGTGTGACCTTTCTTGCAGATCGAGGAAGCTGGCTGGAGCTATGTAGGGGGCTGGACTGGCCAAGGCGGTTCCAAACTTGGGACAAAAAGGTAAGGGGCATCATAGGAGCACTCCTCCTAGTTACCCCTAAAGATGTCCCTCGAATATGGGTGTCAGTTCATTAGGTCAGCATCTACACTGCTATCGTCTGGGACTTTGGTCCCCAAGCTCACAGTGGCCTCAGTGGGGGCAGGCATGCTCATGCAGACCTCTTTTAGCAGCTTTGGGCACGTAAAGCCCCAAGGTGGACCCATGGACAGTGGTGAGAGGTGGCATAGGGAAGGGGGCACAAGTCAAGAAATTATACATAAAGCACTCTTCTAATTCTGGCTTTTTTCTCCCTCGATTTTGCTGTCCCTTCTCCAAATCCCATCACCTCATTGCCCACCCCTGCCCCACCCTATTCAACTAGGACTCTCCCCAAGAAGAGCTTCGAGCAGATCAGTGCCAACATCACGAAATTTAACATTCAGGGCCTTGTCATCATTGGGGGCTTTGAGGTGAGTGCCCTCCCGTTTCCTCCCGTTCACCCCCCACCTCTCCCTCTCCCCTCATTGCTGCCCTTGCCACTCTTCTCAGGCTTATACCGGGGGCCTGGAACTGATGGAGGGCAGGAAGCAGTTTGACGAGCTGTGCATCCCATTTGTGGTCATCCCCGCTACGGTCTCCAACAATGTCCCCGGCTCCGACTTCAGCGTGGGGGCTGACACAGCCCTGAACACTATCTGCACGGTGAGACCCTGCTGCTACCTCCCAGGCCTCTGGCCGGGACTGCAGCCCCTGGACTGCATGTGCTCCTAGAAAGTGAGCCACTTTTTTGGTACCAACCAAGTGAGTTCTTGAAGAGTGCTTCTGGAAGCAAAGGCCTTTATGCAGGCCTTATTCCACCACATGTGTGGGGCTCATTCTCCCCTGGGCATCCCCAACCTGGAAAGGCACCAGTACTCTGCATGCCATAGTTTCTCCCTCCTGAGGGTCTAGGGCCTAATTTCCCTACCCTGAGCAACAGAAAGGAGGAGTACAGCTTCTTTCCGAGGAGAAGGGTTCCACAGCCTGGTGGGCCCGTGTGCCTGCCGCCCCTGAAGGCAAGCACTTGATGAGGCCTAGCGGCCCGGCCTGCCTGGAAAGGAGAGCATTCCAGAGAGGGGTCATGGCAAGGGCCAGAGAAGTGACAAGCAGCAGAGCCCAGGCCCCATCTCTCTAACTGTGACCCACTGTCTCGCCAGACCTGTGACCGCATCAAACAGTCAGCAGCAGGCACCAAGCGGCGTGTGTTCATCATCGAGACGATGGGCGGCTACTGCGGCTACCTGGCCACCATGGCTGGCCTGGCAGCTGGGGCTGATGCCGCCTATATTTTTGAGGAGCCCTTCACCATTCGGGACCTGCAGGTAGACGGCTACCCTGAGCCTGTACCGTAGCCCTCCCTTGCCCCCGTCTGTCCTCACTGTGCCTGCCGCAACCTGAACTGTGCGAGCTCAAGACGAGGACAGCTGCCTGGTGCGTCGGGCCCTGCCAGGAGGTGGGAGAGGGCAGCACGCAGGCATTGTCTGGTGTAAGCTCACATGTGCCCTCGGCTCCTGTTGTCGGGAGTGTCGGTTTTGAAGGATGGCATGTTGCTAAGCCCTTCCCATGTGTTTTTGCGTTTTATCTTCAAAACAGACATGCAAGGAGACATTATCTCCATGATACAGATGAGAAAGATTTAGACAGGTTAAAAGCCTTTTCTAAACTTAAACGAGTGAGTAGAGGATTTAACCAACAGAGAAAGTCAGCCTTTCTGCTGCATCCTGCCACCCCTTTGGACTTCCCTTGCTTCCAGACTCTTCCGTTCCCTGTCACTTCCAGGGCTGGAGGGGTGGGGAACTTGGACTCCTGTTCACAGAGGAACTGTATGATCCTAATTTTCCAAGATCTCAGTCCACTAGAGGAAAGAAAGGCCACAAAGTGGAGGGGCAGCAGGCTGGGGGAACTCCCTAATCCAAGAACCCAGCCGACCCCTGAATGGAGGTGAGAGTCTTCCTCCTTTACCCTCAGCTCAAAGCCCCGATGAAAGAACTGGTTCCTCCCAGGTGAATTACTTTCACACACACAAGCAAACCATTTAAGGACCAATGCTGAGAGCAAGAGTCAGCCCTCTGAGGGACGGGAACCAGAAACCCCTGGAAAGGGACATTGGGAGCAGGGGCAGGGTGAACTGGCAGTTGCCACAGCTGTCTCTGATGTGCCCTCTTCCAGTTCTGCATGTCCCCTTTGCTCTCTTTGTTTAAATTTCAGTCTACACTGAACTTCTTATAGGAATTAGACGCAGGATTGTAAACAACTGTCTTCCATGTCCCTCTCCCCTTCTGGGAGGTCTGGTGGGGAACAAGAGAGCTATGCACCTGCCCAGCTGTCTCCGCTCCCAGCCAAGCTTAGGATTTACTCTCTTGTTTTCAGGCAAATGTTGAACATCTGGTGCAAAAGATGAAAACCACTGTGAAGAGGGGCTTGGTGTTAAGGTATCTCAACCACGGCTTGTTTCTGAGTGAAGAGAAGAGTTAGTTAGGCTCCGGCTCTAGCCCACAGATTGAATCTGTTTGGGACACCCTGAGGAATTTGGTTACAAATGGAGAAAACCTGTGCCATGGGAGGAGCTAGAAAAGGGAAGAAAAAAGCTTACAAAAGCAGAAAAGGGTCTGGAGGGAAGGGAGATAACCAAAGTCACAGGCTTTTGGTTTCTACTTGGCAGGAATGAGAAGTGCAATGAGAACTATACCACTGACTTCATTTTCAACCTGTACTCTGAGGAGGGAAAGGGCATCTTTGACAGCAGGAAGAATGTGCTTGGCCACATGCAGCAGGTAGGGAAGACGCCCTGTCACACCCTTCACCAGATGGCCTTACCCCCAGTAGCCACTGGGCCTCCTGCTGGCCTCCAATCTGCTAGGGGCCATCAGTGCCACCACAGTGAACCTGCAGTCTGGTACAGGCATAGAATCTAAACATCTTTACTCTGGAAATGGCCTTAGAGATTATGAGTCCATCCTCTTCATGAAGGCGGGTTTCTCAGCCTAGGCACCATTGCTGTTCAGGGCTGGATAAGTCTTTGTTGTGGGGAGCCGTTGTGTGAGTGGTGGGGTGTTTTAGCAATATCCCTGGACTCTACCCACTACAGGCCAGTAGCACCTCCCTCCTGAGTTGTAACAACTAAAAAGATGTCTTTAGACATTGCCAAACGTCCCCAGGGAGGCAAAATCATCTCCAGTTGAGGACCACTAGTTCAGATGAGGAAAGCGAGGCCCAGAGAGGAGAAACAATTTTTTCAGGGCCACTCGTCAAGCCTGGGTGAGAGCCAGTGCTCTTCCCACCACACCATGCCGCCCTCTGTAAGGAACCTGGGAAATGAGTCTGGGCACCTTGCTGGTATTGGGCTCCATCCCCAAGAACTGGGGCTTCCAGGGGAAATGAATTCCTTTCTACCATCCACATTCAGTCCCCACCTCTGGTGGGCCTCGCTCACAGATGATACTAGCGGTCTTGGGCCTCCCCATCCTCAGTGTCTCCAGCTGATCCTGCTTACATATGGACATTTGACCTTTGTCTACCCACGTAAGAATTCCCAGTATCTCAAGTCTGAATGAGCTTGCTATTAGCCCCTGCAGGAATGGGTAGTGGATATCCAAGTGGATAAAGTATGACAATCTGTTCCCCACCTCCCACCTACTTTCGCTTAGCTCGGAGAAAATGTACATGATGTTTTACATTATTCTGAGGTGCTACCAAGGCCATCCATATTGGTTCACAAGGAACACTTCTATGTCCCTGACGATGGCAACTGACAAAAGCTGCTAGGCTGAAGAGGGGCAGAGAAGTGACTGAGTGGCCAGTTAGACTAGAAGTAAACAATGGGATCTGGCAGCTGTGGAGCGAGAAGAGGCAGTTGTGAGATCATTTACTCCTTTATCTAATTAGTTAGCTCTTACACTTGATAAATGGCCAAATCGGCCACGCCAGCTCACCCTGGTTCTCAGCACTGTCCCAGGATTTCCTTTCAGAGTTAGACTTCTGGATTCCCGTTTCTGGCTGTAAACCTGCGTACTTTTCTTTCCTTTTTCTCTGTATGTTTGGGTGTCTCTGCCACTTTAGAGTCTTTCCCTCTCTAACTTTAAGACTCTTTTTTCAGGGTGGGAGCCCAACTCCGTTTGACAGGAATTTTGCCACGAAGATGGGCGCCAAGGCTATGAACTGGATGTCTGGGAAAATCAAAGAGAGTTACCGTAATGGTAGGTGGGGTAAGAGGGTAAGCCCCCTCCACATAGGTTGGCTCCCCATTAATGAAGCTTATTGACCATCCTTTATTGCAGGGAGGATCTTTGCCAACACGCCAGACTCGGGCTGTGTTCTGGGGATGCGTAAGAGGGCTCTGGTCTTTCAACCAGTGACTGAGCTGAAGGACCAGACGGATTTTGAGTGAGTACATCTATTTCCTTAGTAGTTTCAGGATCTCCTCTTCCCAACCTGTTTGCGGTCTTCCATCCTTTTATCTTAGGACTAACCCGGGTAGTCATACCTCTTTCAGATCTTAGCCCTTGCCCTAAAGTCCAGCCTCTTCTATTCAACTTCTTCCCATCAGCGTTTGATAGAGTCATCTGGGGTGCTAAAAGGTGAAATCATCATCTATCTCATTTCTCTGTAGGCACCGCATCCCCAAGGAACAGTGGTGGCTGAAGCTGAGGCCTATCCTCAAAATCCTAGCCAAGTATGAGATTGACTTGGACACCTCAGAGCACGCCCACCTGGAGCACATCAGTCGGAAGCGATCTGGAGAAACTTCTATCTAACCCTCTTTGGAGTAAGGGTCATGGATTGTCTGATCATGGTCAGCTCACCCTGATAGATCCAAGTCCATGTATTCCCAAGTGTTTTAGCGCATTTTTCTTTAGGTTTCCTTTTATTCTGCAACTGTAGCCATGATCAGCTCTGGCCAGGTAGCTGGGGTGGTAGACAGTGAGTAGAAACTCCTTTTAGGTAGAATTTATCATGACTTCTACCCCAGCTTCACCTGTCACACAAGACTGGGCTCCTCTCGTGCTACTGCTAGATTTCAGCCACTCGGTTAGAATTTTCCTAAAAATAAGCTTTATTTATTTCTTTGTGATAACTAAGTCTTAGTTCCTCTACTACTTTTACTGCAGTGACAGACAATAGCTACACTAATAAATGCCAACTGGTCACTGTCCTTTTGGTTCTCCTGTTGTCACTTGTACAAGTAGATGTCATACTGCCAACCCTAAGGAAAAGACTCTGCTCAGACACCTGGGAAAATGCAGCCCATGCGATCACCCCACATACTTCTCTCCATCTCCTGGTGTATTTCCCGCAGCATCTCTTGGCTCTGTACAAAAGATCCTAGAGCATCCTATGCTGGTCCTTACCCTTGTTTCACACCAGTCCCTCCTGGATCCTTTGCGGCCACAGGGTGTACCAATCTCTCCTAAGCACGATGTTGTGTTTCACCTTTTGATCCTATACCTATTACCCAGGGGTGCTTTTTTTCCAGCCATCCCACAATCTTTACTCCTCTTCTGACAACTCAGTGTTCCTGCTTCTCAACCCTTCCCCTGTACTCCTTCCTAGATGAAAGGCAGAATCCATCTGTGGGGACACATGCACATTTTGAAAGCCTGGGAAAGAGACACCTGGACCAGGGCCTGGTTTGGTGGGCTGGCTGAAATACGGCTTTACAAAGTTGTCAGTTCTTATTTGGCTCAATTTATGTTTTGTGTCATAACAACAGCTTCTTCCTCCTCATCAGCCAAGTGACCATGTCATGCAGTTGGGTCTTCAGGAGCCTCCAAATTGACAGGATGGCGTCCTGTTGTTGCTCTTGGCACAAGCCAACATATTCCTCCCAACCCAGTTTTTCACTTGCTTGATGAAGCAGGAAGAGGTTCCAGGTTTTACCAGGTGCGGAAGACAGATTAGCTCTACTACATGGCTTTTGCTGGCTGTCCAAAGTATTACCTCTATACCCTGAAAAGAGTTCTAAACAGTAACTGAGAAGTCTTGTCAGGAGTTCAGAATTAAAGAAGCCAAATGCTCATGGTGCAGTTCTTTAAGGAGAAGAGAAATAACAATAAATATCGAGCACTATTACCACTGTATCCTCAAACCAGCTTATGAGGAGGGTAGTGACAGCCCCACTTCAGAGTTCCAGCCAATAGGACTTCCAGTGATTAAATAATGTGGAGAAAAGTAGGAATAGTAGAAATTGCCAAACTTGCTTTTAGAAGTGTTTATTTCTTTCTTTCTTTTTTTTTTCAAGTGAGCAAAAAAACCCCACCAACAGCAAAAGGGCAAAAGCAGACATTGTTTTTCAAATTAGCTACGTCAGCAGATTCCAGTCATCTTTATTTGTGGTTCCCAATCAGTGAAAAGAAAAAAAAAAGTTTTTCAAATTTGCATCTGGGTCATCCAAGATCAATAACAACTTGCTCTAGTTTAAGAACATGAAAAGAAAGAGTATTGTTGACCAAGTATGGTTCACTAAAGCAGTTCTTTTTGGAGTAGGTGGGCCATCTCAAAAGAAGCTCTTATACTGCTCTTCCCCCGCACCCTTGGCTCCCCCGATGTCTTGTACAGATCAGTAAAAAGCAGTTTCCAAAACAGCTGAAAGGAAAATAACTCCCAACTCTTAACAGAGTGAGCTATCTATAGGGAAATGAAGACCGGTGGGAAAAGCCCAGCCCTTCTCATCCCCTGCTGGAGTAAACACCTTCAGCCAAGGTGTACAAACACCTGCTAAGCCCGCTGGAGCAAACTGGCTTTCACAAAGAGAAAGAATTGCATTAGGAGAAAAGTCCTTAGGACACTGAGTTCTTAGGACTGCTCAGAACCTGCTATCTCCTCTACCATGTGGAAAGCAGCAAGACAGTGTTATTTCTGAAATAACACTGCTGCACTACTATAACCCTCAGGTACACCCATGGAAAAGAAGCAAAGACTGCTGTTTCCTTTGCTGTTGGGAGAGGGGGCTAGTCCCTTCCACACACTCCATGATGTGGCACTCTCGGGTATCATCCGTATCATCCAGCCCAACTGTTTCTGCACACCATCTGAGGTCATCGTTTCTTCATCTTCGGGCCACATCTGTTAGCGGGGATTTTCTTAAACTTCTTCACTGACCAGTTACAATGCTTCTAGAGGGATTCTTCTGACATTTTAATCGTGTTCCCAAAGGAAAACTAAACACATTCTTTAAATACTCTTTTCATCTCCTAGAGAATTTGGTTGAGCTATTGACTTTTTCCCTAAAGGGGAGGGTACGGGGAGAGCTCTTCTTTTGCAGGGTGCAATATAAAAAGCCACGTAAGCAATAAACAGAAAACAAAAGTGAGGAATCTTTTTTTGTTTGGTTGCTCGGTTTGGGGAGGGAGATGTGTGGAGGTTACCGTTGTGACACGTTGCCTCTAAATACAAACCACACAACAGGAACAACTGCTTTTCCTGTTCTCCAAGACAAAGCACTGCAGGGAAAAGCCTCCCCCAGAGTTGCCTGTGTGATGGGGCAAACGTCTCCTCCAGCCTATTCCACAAGTAACAGGTATTCCTTCAGAGAAGCTGGCAGTGGAAGGCCCTTCACTGCATCTGGCAGATACTGGAGTCCCAAACTCCTGCGCACAGCATAGCGAGAGAGTGTTTTTAGAGTTCCTGGGGCTGAGCACAGGACAGTCAGTTTTTCACACAGCTGCTGGTCTCTGGCCACTTCTCGTGGCATGGTGCCATTCTTCCTTAACTCAAAGTGTCCCACGGCTCTGTGCAGGAGCTCAAAGCAAGAGTCTTCTTTCTCTGTTCCAAGTCCCCTGACTAGCAGAGCCACCAGGCGGGAGATGGGTGTCTGGCCTTTCAGGTTGATGACTCTGACCTCTGCACCGTAATCAAGAAGGATGCTGACACTCTCAAGATTCCCCTTCATGGCTGCCCAGCTGAGTGGGGTATCATTGTTATAATCCAGGGCATTGACAGAGGCCCCACTCTCTAGGAGGGCCCGCACACACTCGGCATTGTTCTTAAAGGCTGCCCAGTGAAGTGGGGTGTCTCGGTTGCCATCCAGTGCATTGGGGTTTGCGCCATACTCCAAAAGGACCTCCACACAAGCCTCATCTTTCTCAGCTGCATAGTGGAGGGCTGTTCGGTTGTAACCATCCAGGGCATTTACCTGTAAAGAGGGAGGAACTACATTACAGTAGCTAGACCACCAAGAGGAAGATGGGCGGGCAAAAGCAGCTTGCACGTGTTTATCCATGACCTTTGCTATGTCATGTTCTGAATATGAGAGTCAACAAGCAATTCCCAGCGAGTCCTGGTGATCAAGAGGAGATATGACAGGATCTTAGGAGCAAATAGGAAGAGAACGGTCTCAGAACAACCAGCACTCTATTCCATGCACTGATTAGCTGGCCTGCTTCATTTAGGTTTTTGCTATGTTCTTGTTTATTATTCACTAGGATCTCTACCATGGGGGGGGGAGGGGTAAAAAAAGAGATGATGAAGTCTAAATCCTTGTAACTACTCTGGAAGATATTTATTGGAAAGGAGCTTGAATATATAAGCCAGAGCAAAGATTCTGGATTATTTTGCTTATCCCAGCTCACTCTGTTCTGTGGCTAATGGCAACTAGACTGAGATAGGAGGCCAAACTCTGCCCATGTAGTTTTGCTGTGTTCTTTAGCCATACAGAGAAGCTCAAATTGTGAATCCAATCAGCCCCCTTGCAAATATACACTGTGCAGTCACAAGAGAACCTGGATAAAAGCATGTAAAAGGAAGAGCACAGAACTTTCAATACTGGAATAGCAGCTGACTTGCTAAAAATCAATATTACCAATAATTTCTGAAGGCTACAAAGACTTCAATATTATGTTCCCCTCAAAATACAATAAAAATATGCCGGAATATTTAACTGAGTTTAACTTTCTATTTAGCTAAAAACTACCCCCCCCCAGGCTATTTTCACCATTGACATTGATCACTGGCCTTCATTTCAGGGTAACTCACAAGAGTGACTAGATAATGATAAGTAGAGAACAGCATGGCTGTATGAAGATGATGGCGCTCCGGGCTGGTCCCTTAGGCTTACTGACCAATGTGTTTGGGGCCCGCATAAGCTTCTTGGCACGTCTGATTCCAAACAGCGCCTCAGCCTATGCGACTTCCTAACTGCTTACAAACAGTCAAAACTGCTTATTTATTTATTTAACAAGCACTTACTTAGCAATTACTACATGACAGCATACTAAACACTCGACAACCTTATGAAGAAGACACCATTATCACCTCCATTTTATAGATAGGGAAACCAAGGCAAAGAAAAATTAAGTAACTTATTCAAAGTCACAGAGCTGGAAGTAACAGAGTTGGGATTCAAATCCATGAAGTCTGGCTCCAGAGTCCATTCTTTTAACCATTCACTACACTATGCCACTTTCTGCTAATGTCAATATAAATTAATCTATGTTTCTTACCGTAAGACACATTAAAAAGAAGATATGAACAAGACATAACAAATGTAAAATAATGAGTGGGCAGAAATAGCACCAGTGACCCAGTCCTGAGCAATGGACTACCTAATGAGATCTATCTCCCAGTAATGGTGATATTAGAAGTACGTGTCTGGCAGTGGGTGTCAATGGTTTCCACTCATCACTGGAGGGTCCTCTGTACTTAGAGCTCCTGGAGAGTCAACAGGCAAGGAGAGGACTGAATGGAAAGGTAAATGACTCCAGAAGGAAGGCTGGGACAAAGGGGAAATAAAACTCCCTCTTCCTGGAGCCACAGACAAGAAAGAAAGGCAAAGGAATGAAATCCTTTGGATCATTGTATATAGTTACCATTACATTTTGCTTTACTATTTGCTGTGCCGATGTTACCATGGGCTAGAAGGTGGGAAGAGATGGGAGAAGAGACAGAAATGTTAAGGAAATGTGAAGCTCGAGCTTTAGTGGATCATTAATGTGACAGTGTTAAAAACTTTACCTCCGCTCCTTTTTCCAGGAGTAACTCCACACAGTCAGCATCTGACACCATGCAGGCACAGTGCAGGGGTTTCAGTGTGCCATGGGTACAGTTCACATCTGCTCCCTATGGGCAGAAGGAAACTCCGGTCAGTGTGCTCGGCTCTGGCTCACTGAGCAGGATGAGACTCAGAACTGAGTCCAGGGCGGAACAGGCATCTAGCTC